TGAATCTGAGGGGTCTTGCTCCAGCTCAGCCTCTGTGGGTCTGTCCCTGCTTCTTTGGCTCCAAGAACACAGTCTTCCCTCAGTTTCCTCCCTCTTCTCTCCTGCCCAGGCACTGGTGCTCTCAAAGGCCCTGGCTGTCCCTAACCATCTCTTCATACTGTTATACGTCCTCCCGAAGCAATGCTACTCATCCACACTTCCAAAGCCCTGCCTCGCACCCTGATCCCTACCCCAGGATCCAGACCCATGTACACAAAACCCCCTATGTCCAGCCTATAGCAGACTGCCCTGGCTCCCCGACCAGGCTGCTCCCAGCCCTGCAGGCCTCAGCCAGATGGTCGGCGTGGGCACTCTGGCAACAGCAGAGGATGGCCGAGTGGAGGCAGGACCTCACTTGTGGTGTGCTGACCCCCAGCCTGCTTTTCTACTGCCACCACCCCAAAGTGTCAGAAACCCTGGAAGTGGCAAGCCCACAACTCAGGGCCTCTGGACTCATGCCAACAGGAGGCATCAGCCTCAGGCAAGGAGACCCAAACTTGGGAGAAAGAAAGCTGTGGAGAAGTCAGAAGCCCAGAGGCTGGCTTGGAATCAGGGATCAGAGACAGTGGGCCAGGCTTGACGCACCACTCCCAGCAGCCCCACAAGCAGGCCTGGCCGAAGCCACAGGACTTCCCCATGTTCCAGCCAAGATGGGTCACACAGGGCTTAACCACCAAGAGAAATGACAGCCAAAGTTCACAGAGAGCTGGTGGTTACATGTTCCCATCACCCTCCTTTCTCTGAAAAAAGAAGAGTTCATAAACATATGCAGGAAAGGAAATTCCACTCCCTTCCATTGCCTCTCAGGAAGTCCCTCCTGTTATCTAAATCTGATCCTTCATGTTGTCTGTTGAGTTGGTGGGAAGAGCAAGGCCCAGAAAAGATGCACAACCTGAGGCTGGAAGCTGCCAGGGGGGCCAACTGTGAGCCAGACAAGGCCCCCTCACTTGGGCAAAGAGTCGAGTAGCAGAGAGGGCTTTGTGGGCCAACAGGCCTGAGTTCTTATGCCTGCTGGCTGAATGGCAGTGGACAAATACTCTCTCCAAGTCTGTTTCCTCATCTGCAAAATGGGGACAACAAGCCCCACATTACCAGATTACAGTTGAATTCATTGAGATTATGTGTGTAATTCTAACGCACACCAGATACCTGGCAAAGGGCCAATTGACCAGTAAGATTGATGGACTCCACCTGCTTATTCATATTCAAATTTCTCAGCTCTATCCTCTCTGCAGCCTAAGTTCAGAGCTCGCAGCCTTAGTTCTCAGGTTTCTCCCCAGCCTCCTCACTGGTCTCCCTGCTTCCAGGCCTGCTCGTCCCATCCATCCTCCTTGGCGCTGCCAAAGACATCTCTCTGAAATGAAAACATCTGCTTCCATCCCTCTGCTGCCTCACACTCTTCTCTGAATCACCATCCACTTCAGGAGAAAATGCTTTCTCCTTAGCCTGACATTCCCAGGCTGCTGGCGACCGGCCTGTGTTTACCTCCTAAGGCTCACTGTCATCCCCAGCCCAGACCCCGGGCTGCACACCTTGCTTCCTGCCTCCAAGCCATTGCAGATTCTGCACCCTCGGCCAGGAATGTCATTCCTAATCCCACCCCCTTGGCCTTCTCACCCTTTCAGATGAAGCTCAGTAGTTCTAATACCACCTCCTTTCCAGGAAGGCTTCCTTGGCCATGCTCCCTGCCTGGGCCTGGGTTGGGGACTTCTCCTTTAGCCTCCCACAACACATGTCATCCTGCTTTATAACCACCTGCTCTGCTCTAAATCCCTGGAGGACAGTGTAGACTCTTTCCTCTCTGAATCCCTAGACCCTGGGCACTCAGAAGGTACTCATCAACATTTGTTGAATGAATACAAGATTGTTCCCCGAGCACCTTACAGCAACCATCCGACTCCTGCCCTGTAATTAACCCTGTCCAGGTATTTTGTTTTTATTTTTTCACTACCTCAGGCTGGAATGCAGTGGCATGATCATGGCTCACTGCAGCCTTGACCTCCAGGGCTCAAGTGATCCTCCCACTTCAGCCTCCTGAGTAGCTAGGACTACAGGCGTGCACCATCATAATCACCTGATTTTTGTATGTTTTGCAGAGACGAGGTTTCGCCATGTTGCCCAGGCTGGTCTCGAATTCCTGAGCTCAAGCAATCTTCCGGCTTCAGCCTCCCAGTGCTGGGATTACAGGAGTGAGCCACCATTTGCAGCCCTGCCCAGGTATTTGTTTTAACACCTATTTCCCCTTGTTCCTGGGACTTCCTAGAGGTCAGTGACTGTTTCTGATTAATTTTCATTATCACTTTCATATGGGGGTGCAATTCCAGATGGAGGGATGGATTCGATAGTTCCTGATGTTCACTTTTAGATATCTGCAGATTCCTCTTCTTAGTCATAGATAGATAAAGTAGAATCTCATGGCTTACGGGAAAAAGACAGGGTACAGTCCATTCCTAATTTTGCCCTTCTCTTCCAAATTACTTGGCAAACTGTCTGAAAAGGGAGAGAAAGTCCTCATAGGACTACAGGAGAATCTGAGGGGGAGGTCAGGCCACCATCAGGTGGGTTTAGCCAGGCCTTGGGTCTAGGCTTCAGGCAGCGCCTCTACCCCTGCCCAGCAAAGTCAGTAAGTATACAAGGGGAGCCCTAAAATGGAAGTATTGATAGCTTCAACAGATGGGAAACTAAGGTCCAGAAAGGTAAAGGCAATTGCCCAATGTCCCAAAGGTCCACCAGTGGGTTCAAGGCAGGGCAGGGGGAGTCATGGAAAATACCCTGGCCTCAGAGACAGGGTCTCCAGCAGGTGCCTGGAAGCCCATGGTGTCCTCATCTTTCTGACAATCCATGTCAGCAGGACAGCAATGACACTTATCCCCCCAGTCACAGAGAGATACAGAGAGACCCAAGAGAGGCTGAGTCACCCCGATCACAAGGCAGCCCAGGAAGGACAAGGGAGGGGAGAATGGCTCAGACTCCCTGCTATGCCCTATAGGAAGAAAATCCTGACCTCATGGGTCAAGAGGGTCTTAATTTCAGGGCAGATGGATGTGGCTGGGGAGGGAGTCACACAACTTCCTACTTCGGATAGAGGCCTAGGTCACAGTGCTGGCCAGCCAGCTGCAATGGGGACTAGCCATCGAGGTGCATTCAGAGACACCATGATCTTCTGCAGTCTCCCCGAAAGGCCTGGGCCTCCAAGACAGAGCAGAGCACCCCTTCCTGGCACATGAGGGGCCTGGCAGTGCCCTAGGGCCATCCACAGAGACATGACCAAGTGGACTCCAGCTTCTGCCCTGCCTCTAACCCATCTTGACCTTAAGCAAATCACATGACAACTCTAACCCTCTGGTTCCTCTGCTAGAAAAGAGGAAAAGGAAAATTAACCTCCTGGAAGAGCTGTCAGGAGGATGGCTGGAAAGTAGTTTCTAAACATTAAGAGCTTGAGTTGCCTCAGAGACTCAGTTTCTTCCTCTAGAAAATGGAAATAATCTCTGGAAGCCCTTTCTCATGCTGTTGAGAGAGCCTTAGATGGCAGTGGGTGAGAAATGGCTTTGTCAGTGGCCCTGAAAGGTGGTGCCCTCTGGGGTGGTCTCTCTAGTTTGTTAGCTCCTTCGGGGGAGGAAGGGGACTTGCACATCTTTGATCCCCCACAATATGCCTAGTATACAGCAAGAGCTCAATAAATAAATGGAAACGAGGAGAGGGGAGGGAAGGGAGGAGGGAGAAATTGGACACAAGGATAGGAGGGGAGGAAGACAGAAAACAATGAGAAACAGGGATGGAAAGCGGGTAAGAAGGGGACCCCAGGGAGAGGCTATGTGCAGACTTAGTGGGTAGGGAGGGCAACGGGGGAAACAGGGTGACAATGCTGAGCCCCTGAGGAGTGCTGGTCCTGTCTGAAGGGCTGCCCTCAGGGGCTATCCTGCTCTAGCCCCTTCCCCTTTTATCCCAGTTTCCCCTTTCAGAGGCATACACTGCCTCTTTCTGAGTCTTTCAGGCCAGGTTCCAGGAGAACAGGAGGGGTTCTCCCAGCCCTAGGTTCAAAAGAGCTCCTGGCCAGCCACTCCTCAGGAGGTCAGAGAAAAGGGAGCAGAGTGCATGGATGGGATCTGGATGGGATGGGATCTGTTTTCCCCAGGCTGGGGGTGTCGGGAGTGCTCTACCCTGTGTGATGTGTGTATTTCCACTTCTGGCCATGTGGGGCCTGGAGCATGTGTGTCAGCGGGCCTCGGAGCTGGGAGCTTGTGCCTGTAGGGTGCCAGTCTTTGCAGGCATCAGTGTGATTGTGTCTGTGGGGGTCAGTGTTGGTGTGGCTTTGCGCTCCGCTGTGTTGGTGAGACGTGCCAGCAGCACAAGTGTGTGTGCCAGTGAGAGTGATGTGTGTGCCAGCAAGGGTGTTTGCTACAGCGAGTGCAGGTGAGAGTGCATATCAGTGTATGCCCACACGTGTATACCAGCACTAGGGTGTGTTAGAACTGGTGTGTGTTGGAGTGTGACCTGTGCATGCCAACAAGGCTGTCAGCAAGAAAGTGTTGACTGAGGCGTGTGTGACGGCGTGCCACTGCGTGTGATGAGCCTGTGTCAGCGGCTGCCAGTGTGTGCGCCAGCATGCATGTGCCACGGGTTAGTGTGTCCGTGAGTGTATTGTGTGTCAACCTGCCTCCGTGAGTCTCTGCGCCTGCTGGCCAGTGCTGGGTGTCAGCGAGCTGCGAGTGTGTCCGGGCCAGGAGCCGCGGCCCACATGGGGCCGCCCGGCCCTTGCCCTTTAGCCTGCGCCGCCCACGGCCCTGCCGGAGACCACACAGAAGACCTCGGGTGGAGGAGAGCGGGTACTTGATCCCAGGGTGGCCCCGAACGCAGAACCAGGACGCAATCGGAACCCCCGCCCGTGCCCTCGCCGAGGCCGCCCCCACGCGCCCTGCACCGTCCGGCCGCCCTGCACCGTCCGGCCGCCCTGCACTCACCGTGTCCCTTTGTCGCCCATGGTCCGCGACGGCCGCAGGGAGGTCCGCGGCGTCAGCGCCCAGGCTGGAAAATCCCCGGCCAGCAGGAGGAGCGCGGGCCAGCCCGCTCCCGGCTCCCTGCTCCGCCTCCTCCGCTCTCCCGGCCGCCGCCGCCGCCGCCGCCCCCGCCCCCGGTCCCCGCCCGCCGCCTGCCGAGCGGAGCCGCGCAGCACCCGGGCCGCGGCCAGGGGCGTGGAACCACGCGGGTTGTGTGAGTGTGTGTCTGTGTGTGCGCGTCTGCGTGTGCGCGCACCGCCCAGCGAGCCAGGGCAGTGCGGCGGGACGCGTCAGGGCTCCAAGGTCGGAGTTTGGGGGTGTCCTCCCGGGTGCGCGTCCGTGTGTGTGAGCCTGTGTGTGTGTGTGGGAGGGGTGGTTTGGTGTACGTGAGGGCGCACGGCTGTATGCGGGCCCTGTTAGGGAGTGTATTGGTGTGGATGGAGGAGTGTGCACGTCTTTGTGCAGCTGTGCGTGTGTGCGCACGGCCGTGGGTGCGAGCGCGCTCTCCCGCGCATGCCGGGGCAGCCTTTGTGTGTGCGGGTGATTGGAACCCGAGGGTCTGGCGACCCCGAGGCCGCGCTCCCTGCAGTGCCTCGCTTAGCAGAAGACCCCGGGATGTCTGGCAAAGCCTTTGCCCTTTGCTCCACCCTTCCCCATCCCACCCCACCCCCTTCTTCTGGAGAGATAACACCCAACAACCCAAGAGGGACAGGAAGAAAGGGTGGAGTGGGCAGTAGACGGCCTTGACGCTGGGGAACTGAGCAGAGACAAGAGGCTAGCAGGGGCTGCCGGAGGCCGCCCGGGAAGAGTAAGCTGCGAGAAGTGAGAAGAGGCGAGAAAGGAAGAAAGCAGAGCTGGCATGCTGCTCTGGCCGGGGTAGCACCGTGGAAAGCGTCCATGCCCAGCTCCATGGCCTGCTGCGGGTGACCCTGTACACCAAGCTTCTGAGAACCCATGTCCAGACCTGTAAAGTGAGGATACACTAATATCAGCTTGCAGAATTGTTCATAGGTTGAAAGAACTCGCTTGTGTTTGCTGGCCTCCCCGAGTACCTGCATACAGTAGGTGCCCAGCAGATGTTAGCCCACTCCTCTGCAGGCTTCTTGATGTCCTGTGTAATCTTGGCTGGGACCCTGCTTTGTCTGAGGTGCCTTCCTGCTTTGCAGGTAGTGGGAAATTGTAAGATTTTTCCTATACCCCACTACTGAGATTTGGCTAATTAGCCCTGATAGGTCCCTGATATCTGAGTATTAAGGGAAAAGGAAGCTATCATTTACTCTGATGCTGTTGTAGGTATGCAAACATCTCCTGTAATTATGTCCAGAAGCAGTTACCTACACTGTTTATATGTAGCATAATTACTATAATTACGTCCAGATTTGGCAGAGGGGCAGGGGGAGGCTGATGTGGGGGCAGGGGGAGGCTAATGGGTAGGCAGGGTGGCCCACCTCTGGGCAGTGTTAGGAGCTAGAGAATACGGATGAATCCTCCTCCCAGTCTTGGCCTCTGGGCTTCACCCTTACCCCCACAGGGAAAGAAGAGGAAGCCACCTGTTGTTTCTGCAGGGGTCAGATCTGGAAAGGAGCAGACCAGACTCTTCCTTGATGACAAGAAGTCCCTAACCAGGATAGCGAGGCCAGGTCCTGCCACGCTTCACATCAGTTTCCCCACTTATAAAATAGGTTTGACCAAAACAGATGATCTCCAATGGATCTCCCCATGCTGATGCCGAAAACATCTAAATTTATTTATTTATTTATTTTATTTTTTTGAGACGGAGTCTCGCTCTGCCACCCAGGCTGGAGTGCAGTGGCATGATCTCGGCTCACTGCAACCTCTGCTTCTGGGGTTCAAGTGATTCTCTTGCTTCAGCCTCCTCAGTAGCTGGGATGGCAGGCACCCTTCATCATGCCCAGCTAATTTTTGTATTTTTGTAGAGACAGGGTTTTACCATGTTGGCTAGGCTGGTCTCGAACTCCTGACTTCAGGTGATCCGCCCACCTTGGCCTTCCAAAGTGCTGGGATTACAGGCATGAGCCAACGTGCCCGGCCCTAAATTTTAAAACTCACGCAAATTCTTCATTCCACTAAATATTTGTGTTTGTTTTACGGTAAAAATGATGTTTTTAATTACTCCTGAGCAAAGGAAACAGTCCAGAAAGATGCATCAGGTGGTTTCAGGTAACCCCTCCTTTCTCACTGCTTGGAAAGCAGGGCTCTGACATTCAGGGACGCTGAACAGACTCGTAGACTGTGGAGTCAACATGCAGGATTCCAAATACTGGACATCTCCACTGGCCTGTAAACTCCATGAGGCGGGGCTGTGGTGCTACTTGATACAAGTCTGTGACATAAGTGCCCTCTTCCCTTTCTCTTTCTTTTTATTCCCCCCCCGTTGAGGTCTCACTGTCACTTAGGCTGAAATGAGTTATGATCATGCCACTGCAGTCTCCAACTCCTCACCTTAAGCTACCCTCCAGCCTTGGTCTTCCAAGTAGCTGGAATTACAGACTTGTACCACTACACCAAGCTAATTTTTAAATTAGTTTTTGTAGACATGGGGTCTTACTAAGTTGCCCAGGCTGGTCTCAAACTCCTGGCCTCAGGCGATCCTCCCACTTTGGCCTCCCAACGTGCTGGATTACAGGCATGAGCCACCATGCCTGGCCCTCTTTTCCCTTTTTTATAAATGAGCAAACTGATATTCAGAGAAATTAAGTCACATGCCCAAATCCATAGCCTCCTCTGGGCCTTGCCTCTGACCTCCTATCCTCTGGCCTTCCCCCAAAGGGAAGCTGATGTAGAAATCAAAGTAGAAACTATGATTTAATTTACTTTAAATTCCAGTGAAGGAGCAAGGATGGCAGAAGAAGAGTCAAGAGGACAATTTTGCTTTACCTGCCGGCTCTATGAAAAACATATTTATGTATTCCTGGTGTAATCAAAATTAATAAAATGGCTGGACATAGTGGCTCATGCCTATAATCCTTGCACTTTGGTAGGCTGAGGCAGGCAGATTACTTGAGTTCAGGATTTCAAGAGCAGCCTGGCCAACATGGTGAAACCCTATCTCTCCTAAAAATGCCAAAAAAAAAAAAAAAATTTAGCCAGGCTTGGTGGCAGGCGCCTGTAGTCCTAGCAACTTGGGAGGTTGAGGCAGGAGAATCACTTGAACTAGGAAGTGGAGGTTGCAGTGAGCCGAGATTGCATCTCTGCACTCCAGCCTGGGTGACAGAGCCAGACTCCATCTCAAAATAATAATCATCATCATAATAAAATGTAAAAGTGATAGTGTTGAGGAGAGCTCTTTGTATATCCACAATATAATCTCAGCCAGTAACGAGTGTTATGAAGAAAACAAAACAATAACAAAACAGGGCGACGGGGCAGGTAGACTAAGGAAAAGGCCTCCAAGGAGGTGAGCTTTGAGCTGAGACCTGCAGAAAAGGAATCAGCGATGTGAGGGGATGGTCAGGGAAGGAGCTGCTCAGGCAGAAGGAACGGCAGCTGCAGAGGCACAGGAGCAAGGACAGTGCTCCTGGTGTTGGTGAACAGGGAAGGGGTGGTGCAGGTGAGGCAGCAGGGTCAGGGTCACACAGGACTTGTAGTGGGGGTGAGGAGTTTGGGGAGCCAGTGAAAGGTTTAAGCAGTAGAGTACCAGTATCTGCTATATATTTTTAACTTTTTTTATTTATTTTTATTATTTTTATTTTGAGACGGAGTTTCGCTCTTATTACCCAGGCTGGAGTGCAGTGGCGTGATCTCGGCTCACCACAACCTCCGCCTCCTGGGTTCAAGCAATTCTCCTGCCTCAGCCTCCTGAGTAGCTGGGACTACAGGCACGTGCCACCATGCCCAGCTAATTTTTGTATTTTTAGTAGAGACGGGGTTTCACCTTGTTGTCCAGGATGGTCTCAATCTCTTGACCTCGTGATCCACCCGCTCGGCCTCCCAAAGTGCTGGGATTATAGGCCTGAGCCACTGCGCCCAGCCTTTTATTATTTTTATTTTTTTAAAAGATGAGATTTCGGCCGGGCGCGGTGGCTCAAGCTTGTAATCCCAGCACTTTGGGAGGCCGAGGCGGGTGGATCACGAGGTCAGAGATCGAGACCATCCTGGTCAACATGGTGAAACCCCGTCTCTACTAAAAATACAAAAAATTAGCTGGGCATGGTGGTGCATGCCTGTAATCCCAGCTACTCAGGAGGCTGAGGCAGGAGAATTGCCTGAACCCAGGAGGCGGAGGTTGCGGTGAGCCGAGATCGCGCCATTGCACTCCAGCCTGGGTAACATGAGTGAAACTCCGTCTCAAAAAAAAAAAAAAAAAAAAAAAAAAAAAAAAAAAAAAGATGAGATTTCACCGTGTTGGCCAGGATGGTCCTGGTCTCCTGACCTTGTGATCCGCCCAACTCAGCCTCCCAAAGTGCTGGGATTATAGGCGTGAGCCACTGTGCCCGGCTCTGCTTTATATTTTTAAAGGTCACTCTGGCTGTTGGATGGATGTGACTTGGTATGGAACAAGAGCAGAGGCAGGGCATCCCATTATTACAGTTGTCAGGGTGGGGTTTTGGGCAAGAGTGGTGACTGCAGAAATGAAGGAAGTAAAAGGGTTTCAGGATATATTTGGGAAGCAGTTTTGTTGTTGTTGTTGTTTCTTGAAACAGAGTCTCACTTGTTGCCCAGGCTGGAATGCAGTGGCACAATCTTGGCTCACTGCAACCTCTGCCTCCCGGGTTCGAGCGATTCTAGTGCCTCACCTTCCTGAGGTAGCTGGGATTACAGGTGCGCAGCACCACGCCCGGCTAATTTTTGTATTTTTAGTAGAGATGGGTTTTTGCCACATTACTCATGCTGGTGTCGAACTCCTGGCCCGAAGCAATACTTTCGCCTCAGCCTCCCACCCAAAGTACTGGGATTATAGGTGTGAGCCATCGCACCTGGCTGGGTTCAGGATATATTTGGAAGTGGAGCCACCAGCAGCTACTGAGGGACTGTCTGTGGATAATGGAGGATCCAGGATGACTCAGAGGTTTGGGTCAGGGTCCCTTCTGTTCCAACTTTCCATGTGTTTCTCCAAGGGGAGTCACGGTCAAGAGGACTGGAGGGCTCCATTCTTCATGTCAACCCATTTGTCTTATATCCTCCACCTGAGCAACAGAGTGATTCTGCTCAAAGGCAGATAGATTCTATAGCTGAGCCTCATAGG